ACATGTGGTCCTTATCAGCACTGGCACGTGTTTATAAACTGCATTTTTAATCAGAGTTACACTGGCTGCTGGCCGCCTACTTTTACTGAGCCAGGCTATCTGATCAAGCATAAAGGACAAGGAAAAATTAGCGAAGTTAAAAATAGGGAGCGAGAGGCAAATGCACCTTCACACTCAAAATCTGCACTTCAAATAATGGAAAACAACCACTGAACGGATTTTTATGCCCTCTGGTAGTACCAAATGGAGGTAACGCCATCTATCGGCAAAAATAACTGAATTAAGATAGTAGAATTTTAAAGGCATTAGGAAGGACTGGATTGGACTTCAAATCATTAACTAAACCTGCTAAATCTTTGTGAATGTGAAAAGCCTCAAGAAAATCCAGTTCACCTATAGAAGAAGCCTTTTGGATAATTTTTGCAGACCCAAAGTCAAAATTATGGTTAAATATCCAACTATGATACGCTATTGAAGACTTGTTAATTTCGCCTTTTCTGACATAAGATTCATGTTCCTTGATACGAAACTTCAACGCTCTTTTTTGCGTCCTTTGGCCAAATATTTAGTTTCCAGATTTTCTCCTCTGCTTGCTAACAATATTCACACTGTAAAAAATTCTGTTGAAGTCATTGATAAACTTTAAAATATTTCTCCACTTCATTCCATTATGGTTTCATTTGATGTCAAATCACTGTTTACTAATGTTCCGGTCAAAGGAGCACTAAATTGTCTTGAAACTAGGCTTCGGGAATTTCACTTCACACATACTGAAATTAATGAGTTGGTTTCGCGTACTAAAGTTTCTCTGAGTCAAACCCACTTTGTTTTCCAAAATGCATATTTTCGTCAAGTTGAAGGATTGGCTATGGGTAATCCTCTCAGTCCCGTACTTGCTGACATTTATATGCACTATTTAGAGATGAAATTATTTGATAAACTATCTTTTCGTCTTTGAATTCGGTATGTTGACGACACTTTCGCACTTTTTGATGGTTATAAAGAGGATTTATCCGAGATTCTATCTATTATGAATTCAATTGATCCAGCCATCCAATTCACTCTGGAAATTGAATCCAACAATTCCCTCCCCTTCCTTGAAATTCTTATAATCCGCAATGAAACTGATTTTAGCACCACTGTGTACCGTAAACCCTTTGCAGTTTGTTTACCACCCCATGCCAAGTCATGCCACCCTGTTAAGCAAAAAATGGCTTCTTTTTACTATTATGTATTCCGCGCTCTTACAGTTTGTTCCTCTGAATCTTTGCTTACCAATGAACTTAATTATTTGAGAGCAGTTGCGTTTGACCATGGATTTTCTCCCGTGATTATTGATAAAGCCGTTAAAAAATTTTCATATTCCCATCAAAGAAGACATTCCACTGTTAGAAATAATATTAATAACCTTGTCGTGCTTCCATTTTATCCTTCTGTTAGCTATAAAATTGCACGGATTCTCCAGAAATTCAATTTTCAAGTCGGTTTCTCCCCTATTAATAAAATTCAGCCTTCGATTCTAAAAGATTGCATTTCTATCTTGAATTCTTGGGGAATTTATAGTATATCATGTCAGTGTGGTTTAAGATATATTGGTCAAACAAAAAGAGCGTTGAAGTTTCGTATCAAGGAACATGAATCTTATGTCAGAAAAGGCGAAATTAACAAGTCTTCAATAGCGTATCATAGTTGGATATTTAACCATAATTTTGACTTTGGGTCTGCAAAAATTATCCAAAAGGCTTCTCCATAGGTGAACTGGAGTTTCTTGAGGTTTTTCACATTCACAAAGATTTAGCAGGTTTAGTTAATGATTTGAAGTCCAATCCAGTCCTTCCTAATACCTTTAAAATTCTACTATCTTAATTCAGTTATTTTTGCCGATAGATGGCGTTACCTCCGTTTGGTACTACCAGAGGGCATAAAAATCCGTTCAGTGGTTGTTTTCCATTATTTGAAGTGCAGATTTTGAGTGTGAAGGTGCATTTGCCTCTCGCTCTCTATTTTAACTTCGCTAATTTTTCTTGTCCTTTATGCTTGATCAGATAGCCTGGCTCAGTAAAAGTAGGCGGCCAGTGCAACTCTGATTTAAAATCCAGTTATAACCACGTGCAGTGCTGATAAGGACCACGTGTTTCTGAGACTCCTTCTCCTTTATTTGCTTCTTTCTAGGTATTTCTGTCTCCTGATGGGAGGGACCTTTAGCTGCCCTCGAAATCGATTGAGTGTTTCACTATACCTACGCTAAATACAAGGTTGTTTTTACGATTTTTATTGAAGGAAAGTAGTATTTAATAATTATGCATTAAATTTTTATGTACTTTTAAATTTCAAAATATTTTTTTTTAATCTTAATAAATATTGTTTGTTTAATTCTATGGTACTTGTTTTGTAAATACATGTACCTCTGTAAAAAGATTGTCCTTTGCTTCAGTTTTGAACAGACCTCTTTGTTTCAGTTTGATCAGTCATCTCTTGTTTCAGTTTTCCTTTGATCTTCCTTTATTTCAGTTTTGATAGAGATAGTTGTCTTAAAGAACATGGCTGTTGGTGATATTTGGTACCATTATTCATTGCAGTCTTAGAAATATTGTCACTGTCAGAGGTGTTTATGTTAGGGAAGTGATCACCATGAGAGACAGTTTTTCCAACTTCCCATACTTTAAACGTCTGTCAAAGGCCCTTTCTATACATCTGTCAAACATCCTGCCCAAACACCTGTCAAAGAAGGAGGGAATGTCATAAAAATGAAATTATTGATGCGATGAACATTGTTATGAACAATTTAGACGAAAAGGGCATCATTATGATCTCATGGTTGTGAAGCCATATACTTGCATGAAATCTTGTTACAAATTTTGTATATGTGTAAATGATTTTACTGAAATTATATGTAAAATTATAGAATCTCATTAACATGCAGTGCCTCGAAAATGCAAAGCTTTGCTGGGGGGGGGGAGATTGCAGGTGAGAATCTATTTAACATTGAGGTAAATGGCTATCTGGCTAAATTAGCAAGATATTGTCAAGCTGGTGATGGTTTTGACAACTAATTCTTGTCTCCAAATTGCCAATAAAAATGAATTAATTTGGCATTGTGATTTTCATTGCGATGCGCTTTCCATTGTACTGATAAATCACCAAAAGTCGCCAAACTTGCTGGCCATTTGACAACATTATAATTTGGTCCTTGTATAACTGTGATTGGCCTAAATGCGTATGTAACTGTATCTGTTCCTATATGCAACTGCAACTGTATTTGCCTTCCAGCAGTTAGAAATCGCAGGTAGTAAAAATTTCTCAGCGGTCGGGGAAAAACTACATAAGACTGGATAGAGCATCGGTTATCAGTTTTTAGTACAGAATTAAATTCAGAGTTTGAGAGATCTGTATGTGACTCTTTAGATGTGTTTTACATCGTGCTGTGCTTAATAATAATTTGAATAGTATTTATAATAGTTTGAAGTGGTAACTACTGATTGTGCTTTAACATACTGAGAAGACCCGTACAAGTTTTTGAAAGTTCCAGAACTGTAAAGTGTTTCTTTCAAAAAAATAAATTTTATCAAACTATCATCAGTGTGCACTCACTCTTATGAACCCATATGCTTACACTAATATATATATATATATATAAATTACATCTCTTACTTGGATGCATGGGATTACGTGGTAAGGTATATGCATAGAGTTCAGGGAGGATACCCTGCGATATGACATATCAGATAGTGACCTTTTGTCCTCTAAACATTCTGAAATGGTTTTAGATGTGTCTCTATATTTATCAATCACATTTAATCGTAGTAAAAGTCAAGTGATTATGTATTAGTGAGGGCAGGGAATCCTACTCATGAAAGCCTAACATGCTATGATAAAATTTACAACAGATTGACCATAAATATCTTCAAAATACTCTATCGCCATAAGGGTGGCATAAAGTGCTAGTGAGTGTGTCTGGTTATCATGAGAACTTATTCCTTTAACACTAACCCCATATAAGAGGTATCTGGTTAACCCACAGTAAAGGAAGATTCTTAACTAGCTGGCACTATTTCCAGCAATACTTGCATACCATTTATACAGATACATTCTATGACTTATTGAAGACATATGATCAGGTGAGTTTGCCACTCTTAAATTAGGGCAGGTACCACTGCAGACTACATCAGCCAATTACTGATATGTGATAAAGGGATATACTGTAATGCAGTGCCATCTGCAAGACTTTTTTTTTTTTTTTTTTTTTTTGGTAAGTACATGTATATTCATAAATATGTTATGTAGTTGGTGGAAAATGACATTATCAACTACATCTAATATATAGTGACATAAGCCCTCTGTAGTGACACTGGTTCTGATTTTCATGAACTAATGGATCTAATATATTTGGATTGCGATTTCACTGTAAACTGAATGCCTCATGAGAGATTGTCTGTATTAATTAGCCTTTTGTAGTCCAATGATCAAACTCTCAGCTTTGCTCATTTGCTTGCACTGTGTAAAATATTGTATTGAGGTATCTTTCGTCCAGAGCGTTTTTATGTAACATTAGTTTGCTGCTGCAACTGCTGTTGAGCTTTGCTCTTGATGTAAGTTTTTGTTACATGTTTTTCACGCGTTCTGATAACCCTCTATTACAATCTGATGTCATAGCTGCTCTTGGTTTTAAGTTTTGCACTTTATTTCAGTCTTTGATGCATGATATTTATATACTATTCATGAGCCATCAGTTGGACATTGGCCTTTATTAGTCTTGGAGTATCTGCATGTGAAATGTCATGAAATTAAAGTTCATTATTGTTGCCCTTTCTTTGCTATGATTTGAAAGATGCATTTAGTGAAAACATTAATCCATCTTAAAAATCTGTGTTAATTTTCTAGTTTTAATTTTTCTGAAAGCATATTTAACACTATTATATATTATTGCAGTGACATGTATTACATTTATATCCCATAAATTACATAACAATGATTTAGTTCTATATCAATAATGATTTCAGGTTGATGTAGATGATGATCCAGAAGAAACAGATCGCCTGAAAAAAATACCCCGTACTTTATTAGGTCAGGAAGATGCTGGAAAAGAAGAACGAGAAAGAATAGAAAAATTATGTTTAGCTAGGCTTGAATTTGCACAGCAAGAACGACAAAATGCTAGACATTTTGTTCAAGTGCTTCAATCCTTCCTTCCTGATCTTCTCGCTATGCGTAGTTCCATTGAAGCAGATCAAGCCATGCAAGAATTCTCCTCTAAATACTGTGAAAGTAAGTTCTGAATTTTATATATTTCTTTGAAGAATGTGGTGATAATTTAAAAAATTAGATTTGAAAGAATCACTAAAAATATTTAATTAAAACTGTTTCTGTCATATATTTGATAATTTATATGAATTTATTAGTGTTATTATTGATGGATTTATGCTATATTTGCTTTGCTTTAGCTGTAGAATACGAAGTAAAATACTACCGAACTGTAGAAATAAAGAAAATTATAAAATATTTTCAAGTTCAGCAGTTTACAGTTCTGTTTACTGTTACTTAGATCTGTTTACTGAAAGCAGTAACTCTATTTTGTTGATTATAGTATCGTTGTTATGAAGAAGTTGATCGTCACTGAAGCTGTGTTTCTCTGAAAAATTCCTAATCTTATCTTTGTTAGTAATGATAATTATTGTAGTTTAAGAAAGTGATTTTTGAGTAATCGCTTTCTTTCTTTCCTTTTAAGAAAGTGTGATTTAATTCTGTTCTCATTAATGAAATTTTATTGGCAATATTAGCCTCATTTAACTGATAGGGGTCTTTTACAGTCTTTTTTTTTTTTTGCTTTAGTCATAACTCGTCCTTTTTATTTTGTTGCATATATCAGTTATAGTTATTGCAGTTTTTTTACATGTGTAAAAATAACTGATGTGGATACCGCATGCCTTCTTGCATGGCCTATTAGTTGCATAGAATGCTATTCATTTTAGTTGCTAGTAATACATTATCAATTATTGTTTTCACTTCTTCACAAATGGATATTTTTTCTTTGGATATTATCTGGGATCTCATTTAGTAAATGTACTAATCTTGTTGCAGATAATAAGGGATTTTGTTACGATGTCCACATGAAATTTACTATTTAAATGCAATTTTAAAAAACCAATTTCCAATCATCTGTGCATTTTTTCCCATGAACAAAATCATTATTTCCATATCTATCATGACAGTAAATACAGATAACTCCATTTTCTTTGTTGCCTAAAAATATGTCTTGTAATGAAATTTGTAATTTATTTTTACTGTTTGTGGTCTCTGCTTCAACTGTTTCTTTCAACTATTCGTTTTTAAGATCACTTGCTGTTTTTTCTCCTTTTTACAAAGTTTTCCATGGTTTATATATAAATGTATGAATATAACAGTAAAATGCATAAACACATATATTATTATCTACAGCTGTGGACAACATAGCTAATCACTCTAATAATGTCACTTTACTTACCACATTTAGGAGACAACACAAGTGCACCAGCATCATTTACTGCAGTTGTATGGCTTGACACAAGTATGCATATTAATTATCAATGAGATATAACCTAACATATTTATCAAACATTCTCTATTCATAAAAAGCATATTCTTTTGAAACTAACGTATTTAATATATTTTGTTTTAAAATAAAGTTTTTATAATTACTATTTTGATTAGTGGTATGTTTGTCTGTGCACTTATTAATTTTCTTTATGCACTAAATTTTTTAAATTCATGCTTAGAGAGAACTGTGCTGCAGACCTAATTTTGCTCTGTAAATGGATTGATTGCTATTAAATTTTAATCACTTTTTAACTTTTGTTTTCTTGTTGCTCATGCCCAGTTTCATAATAATTTAACAATTCTTTTAGGCATTTTTTTTCACAGCAAGTATATCTTGAAAAGTTTTATTTTTAAATCTGTTATTTTAGAACTTATGCAAAAAAACTGCATTGTTTGTGGAATAATTTAATATTTAAATCAGAAAAAGTTTACATTTTTGATCGACAACAATGGTAAATGCTTTGAAATTCCAAATTGCTATGAGCCCACTAGCAGCTGAGCAGTAAATTCGCTTAACACTGGTAGTTCAGTCTGCAGTTAGAATTCCACAAACGGGCTGGCTGCATGGGCATTTTTGTAGTTTTCCCCATGTGTAACGTGTATACTAGCCAGTTTTCCTTACAAAGTCCTTCACGAAGGCATCATTCACCTTAGGCAGATAGCCCTCGAGGCTTTGCGATAATGACATAAGCTAAACCAAGCCATGTGCACACATGTGCATCTATAAGCTATTTCTTTTATTCATTCCATTTATCTTGTGACTTTAATGAAATCATGAAACGCACATTTTTTACTTTAACCATACTTTCCTTGAATCTAATATTGTGTACTTTTGTGTTGTCATGAATTTAAATATCCATATTTTTATGTGTACCTTCATTAAATTTAAATATATTTTAAGTGCAATTTTTTTATTTTTCCTAGGTTTTTGGCAAGAACAGCAATCAGTGAAAGAGAAGAATGCTGATATTGTATCTCACATAACAATATTGAATGCAGATGGCATATATTTAGCATTGTTTTCAGTACTTTTGTTAAATTTAAAGCTGATTCGAAATAATTATTATAAAGATCCAACTAGCAATCCACCTTTAACTGAAGTAAGAATTGATTTTGCTGTATTAAATATTTTTGTTGACCAAGAATTGTAGTAATTTTAATTAAAGTATATTGTTTTATATAGTTTTAATTATGGAATAAAAATTTTTCACTTCTATTTACTTTTATATATTAAATATGTCTATAAATAATAGTAAAATTTTATGTATTATTTTAATTTAGCAACAGTTTATTGAAGAAGTTCATGGAAGTGGTGTATTGGTGTATCTGTCAGCTACATGGCTTGCTGAATTATATCAGCAAGTATTAGCCATTAATATGTTAGAAGAGGCTGGCTATAAACCAGTATCATTGGAAAATTCTGCTTTAGTGAACCTATTATCTGGTATTCAACCTTTAAAATTTTTAGTGTTCTTTTTAATATACAGTAATTGTAATTATCTTCCAAAATATTTAAATGTATTTTAAAATGTATCCCAAATATTAAAATTTACATGTATGTATGTTAGAATTAACATAATGCTATAAGCTTTAGTTTAAAGAAATTATCAAATTTACTTTAAATTTAAAATTTAAGCTAATTTATAATCCATATTCATTCATGATACTGAAATGATGTTTAGGTTGTATTAAATTAAATTATGCTTTACAAAATAATATAACCAGAAAGGTAAATTGATAATTTTTTTCTTTAATTAGTATTTAAGACAGGGATGTACAAATCTTGGTATCTCAAATGATCAATTACATGGATCAACATAATCATAAAAACAGCTCTAATCTCAGGTGAATTATTATTGTAACGTGTATCGGAAGTTAAACTGTAATTTTTTTGTGTATTTCTCTTGATCTTTTCCTTTGGAGGCTAGCATGCTTGGAACAGTTTTCTATAAAACGATATATGTGCTAAATACACTGCATTTAATTTTAATTCCCTCTTTATTGAAATATCTAATTTCTGAAACATATTTCTAACCTTTAGAAAGGTTTTAAAAGCATGTTGTTCCATTAAATAAAAAAAAATAGCCTCTGTCTTATGATAGTGTTTTGTTATATTGTAGGTAGGGTTTAAAAGCCACATTATTCACTTGGGGTCCGGGCTAATTTTATCATTAGGTTAACTCATGTGATTGATCACCTGATGCACCAAAATATGCAAGTACCTGTTTTACTCATTAAAAAAAATATTAATACATTCTTTTTGGTTACATTAATCTCTAAAACATTATTTAGTTAGGTATTAATTAAATATTAGTTCTGTATTGTAAATAAATATATGAATAGATTTAGCAAAAATGTATAACGTATTTAACAAAAATTTAATTTCTCCTCCTCCCCCAGTTATTGACATTACAATTGCATCAGTAGCTGAAAAATTGAAGAGCAGTTGGGGGGGGATGGTTTTCTTGTAAATACATGTGAATTGCAGAAAATTATTTTAGTGGAGCTGCTTTAAAAAGGGCTTGATAGAAGATACCTAAAGCATGATAATTCTAGTGATATTGTACGAAGAGATAATCTGGGATCACAATCAATACAACAAGGCAAATTGCCAAAAATACTTATTCAATAGATATCTGGTCATACATATGCAAAAGTAATTTAGAAAATAATTTCCCGAATGTGCTGAAAAAGTATTGATACTTTCCAGTTTTCTGCACACCTGCTTTCAAATTTCAACCTAACTTCCCATTTTTGACATATTTTCAAGCATACGTGTGACATTAAATAACCTATTCATATACATACCACATATGTGTCTTACATATGGATTTACATGCTTTAAATTTAGTAAAAATGTAAATATTGATTATAAAGATTTTTTTCTGTCATAAAATGCTTCTCTTCGTTACTATTTATGAACAGAACCCTACTTATGAGCTATAAAAATAGCCAAGAAAATGTCTTTTGTCAGTTCACGAAATGCTCAGTTGGCAGCTTTTCATAGATGTGCAGATAATCAGAAAGTACAGTCAAAATCGTTAATTCAGACACCCATAATCCGGACCTCAAAGCTACAAACTTTCGCATGCGTCGTATTGACGTAAGACCTTTACGGCTGCAAATATGCGTGTGCGCGTGTGCAAAATATGTTTACGAATGTGCATTTAATGTATAATGGACAGTATAAGCCAAGCTAAAATTATCTAATTCAGTTAATGTTGCAGATTGTGTTGTTCCTTAATCTTCGAATTGGATTTGGCTTATTATTTTTTGCAGACTGTTAGAGCAATTTTATAAAAGTAAGCTTGAACTTTCGATTATGTCAAATAGAATTTCTGATATATATTTACTAATATGTAAAGGATCTACAAAGCAAAAGTATGTTTTGAAGTCCATTAAACAAAAAGTGGAATTGCTGCAAAAAATTTATAAAAGCATATCCTTTGTTTATCTAAACTTTAACGTTTGTTTATCTTTAACACCGCATTGCGCAATGAATTGGAAGTTGATCTGTCAGCACTATCCTTATCTTCAGGGCAGATGTTTTTTATTTTATTTGGCTTATAATTCCTTACTAAATGTAGTATTTCATCTCGATGTACTCCGTCTTTGATATGATTTAAATCAAATTCCTCGTCATTATAATTTGCTTCCTATAGCGAAGAAAGTGACAGAGGTTATTGAAAACAAAAAAAATCGATTGACAAATTAGTCGATATTCTCGACACAGCACATGTAGGACTTGAACAGCGGAACTTTGTAACTGAACAAGAAATTTTGTCTGTTTATAGAATTAAAGAGAATGTATTATCACATAAAAAACAAATCAACTTAAAACAACTTACATTGAAAGAAATGTTTAATAAAGTAAACAAATAAATATTAAGCTTTTTTTTGTAAATTTTGATACCCTTTAGATCATAATTGTTCCTTATTTCATAAATTATGGTTTCATATTTTTAATTTTATAATTTCTGCATGCCATCTTACCAGATTTAAACCGATGATGTATAATCCGGAAAAATCGATAATCCGGAATCGATGAAGTCCCGACGAGTCTGGATTAATGACTTTTGACTGTATAAGTCAAAATTTTGTCAACGTATAGCTCTCTTGGCCATCTCCCCTTTAGAAATTTAACCATTCTGTCATCCTTCTCTTTAATATCATGATTGTCCTTCATGAATGAATAGTGTAATTTAGAAATCACTGCATTATGGGGTTGTATATTTCAGTCTATTGTAATTCTCGTTTTCTCAGTTTTATTTTGAAGCAGCATAGATGTTATATTTATTATCATCATGTAATGTTATGAATTTCCTTTACAGGATGAAATTTTCTTTCCCAGAATATTGATATTTTATTTAAAATGTTCTATCTTCTGTCTGGGAATGATTGAGATGCTTAATTGTTTTGCTTCTAATATAAATTTCTTTTGTATGCTTTACTATAATGAGTGAGCTAAATCATCTTTTTTCAATATTATTAGTTGTTTCATTGTGTTTGTATGCAAAATTGTTCATTTACTCATGCTTAATTTTATAACTAGTTAATTAAATTTGTTGGGAAAGTTGTTCGTGTAGTTATGGAAAATAGGGGAACTAAGCAAAAAAGCAATCTTGAATTCAGTATTTTTTAGTTTTGCTTCTGACAAAGGGTAATTTTCATCTGATTGTCTTTGAAGTAAATAGTTTTATTTAAAATCAGTGCCAATCTAAGATTTTCTTCTAGTTAAATTCAGGAAAATTTAAAGCTGAATTTCAGTGGAAACTGAGAAATATTATCCTGTGTTTTTAGTTCTTCGAAAAAGTTTCCCTTTGTAGGCACATATTCCTCAAATGCTCTAGTATGATTAATTGGTTACTGAATAAAAGTGCTGTCCCTTCTTTCCTCAGTTTCTTTTCTTTGTATTGATAGATTACATACTTTTGTTTGTTAATACTTTACTACAGATTTTTTTGTTGATAATTAGGTTTTAGATTTTACATAATGCCAAAAATAACACATTTTTTATATTTTCTTTAAAAATAAAAAATAAAAATAACTAAAAAGCCTTAGAATAAAAAACTGTTAGCCTGCTTTCATAACATATATTTAACTGTTATTGCATTATTTATGGTGAATATGAGGCACATAAACAGGAAAATATAATATATACTAAATATCAATAATCCAAAAACTTAGCTGTTCTTCATTTTATTAAATAACACTGACAACTAATAGTAAATATGACATCACCAAGAACTTGTAAATTTGTTAATCACATAAATAGTATCCATTTGGTGAATATTGCTGTGAATTCCATTCTGAAAGTTAACTTTATTTCATTAAAAATATTATTGTTATCCAGTTAAACATTTTGTGAGAACGTATAATCTAGTTTCAATGCCTGTCATACATATGAGACTTCATGAAGGAAGTCTTAATGACAAATGGCCATTTGTATTTATGCCTTTCACCACACAGCAGAAGAAGGATAATTTAAAAGAGGCATGCTTTATATCAGTTAGACTAATGATCAGTGGGAGTTTGTTAACGTAAGCATTCAGGGTTGCTTTGTTTGCAATTTCAGGTGTATTTTGATTCAGAAAAAATGAGGATTTGAATGTTTGGATGTAAAGAGGAACCTACTGTTGCTCATTTTAATGTTCATATAAAAGCTAGTAAGTAAAACAACTTTTATATAAAGTAAAACAGCTTTTATGTGAACATTAAAATGAGCCTTAAAGTGAAAATTTGGATTATGGAATCAGTATGATAGTGAGGATGGTATCTTATTACAGTAATGTCTTTACCCATAGTTCTCATAAAGAATGTTGATAAAAATTTAAAACGTGAACTTAGCAGTGTGGATAGTATCTTAGATCCTGTATGCTTTTCTTGGCCTTAATCAATTAAATAATCTAACCATACATTTTCCTTTATGCAAACCAATAAAAAATTCATTTCTGTTGTTAAATGTTAATTCTGATTCTTACTGGGTTGGGTTAGCAGACCTGTATTAAATTCAAGAAGAGGCTACCATACAAGTAACATTCCAATGGAAACACAGATGTCATCTTACTGAGTTTGTATACTTGCTATAAGAAAGTATGCTGAGCCTAAATTTTCATTACTGAAGTAATGAAATGGTTTTGAGAAACCACAGAAGAAAATCATTTCTTATTATCAGCTTAGCTAATGAGTTAGGTTATCTACAGTATAAAACATCACAATGACAAGTGATCGTACTTTATTTAGAGATAATTTATGTGATCTATCTTTGGATGCAGTATTATAAAAACTGTTTTTGTAGTAAATATGTATTTTATTAAAAGTTTTTTGTAACTTATAATTAAAAAGAACACAATTGGAATTATTAAATCAAATTCCAATTGTTTTGGGGTTTATTATGTTTATTTTTTTTTATTTATTTATTTATTTTATATTTTCTATAAAGTAGTGTATACTTTTATTTTACCCTACAGTATATGTAGTGAAATACTAGTATATGATATTCTTATGTCTGAATTTTCTTGCTCAATTTTACAGCTGTATAGTGAAATATTGATTATTATTATAAACAGTCACTTAAGATTGTTTGAAAAAAGTTTTTTTTTTTTTTTTTAAACTGAATTTTGAGATCTTAAACTAAATATCTGTTGCAATTTTATCATAAAAGATTCTTTTTATATGCATAGAAACTGAAATATTTTTGATAAATTTAACGTTTAAATGTGCTTTTAGATCTTGCTTTAAAATGTCTTTCTAGGTTTTTATTCTTAATGCAGGCATAGAATTTTGTTTCATTATTTAATATGAATATAAAAACTAAAAATAATGTCATTGTTTGGATTTGCTTCTTACAAAACCACATTTTTATTTGTTTTGTTTGATTATTTTTGTTTTTCAGTTTGAATGAAATATAAATGTTTAATTTGCATTTTTTGTTTAAATATTCTGTCTTTTATAACTTAATTATCCATTTTAAATGCTTTTTATTGCACTTTTTTTTAGTTCATTTGAATTTTTCTCAGTTCTGCTTTGCTTTTTTCCCTCTTATTTCACTTTGAATAATAGGTGTGCTCTTTGGTACTGATGATTGGTCGCATAACAATATTTCAGATGTAGATGGATTAGGAAATACTTTGCCTGGAGCTCAGCAACTGTCTGACTACAGGCGACTTGAGAGAGCCATTGTAAATACTCAAAGCTCGCCCAAAAAGGAAGCAGGTATGCCTTGAATGAAAATATTTTAATCTTGTGCATTTCTGTATATTAAATCATAATGTTTTATAGAAAATTAGGAAAATTTATATTTTTCTGATTTACAGTGTACTTATTTATTTAACGCACTGTTCCTATTTGTAGCATAGATCAGTTTGTTGTTTTATTTAAAGCTTGTTAAAAAGTAATAGTCAGTCAAGGCAAACTGAATTTTGAACATTAATTCTGAATAAAATCTGGTCCTTATCAGTGCAAAAGAGTATTCTTTCTCTACATTTATATATCAGTCTCGGTGGACGTATCATGATTATATTTTCTTTTAGAAGTCTTAATTGAAGTATGTCCAGCATTCTCTATGAATTATCAATCCTAGCCAAGGCCAGCACTTTTGCCCCCCCCCATTGCCATCTTTACAACTCCAAAATTCTACTGCCCAGCAGAAATTATAAAATTTTTGCAGCTTCTAAATTATACCATCCAATGCAGCCACATGAGTTGTACCAGCTCTGGCACTGTCTCTAGATCTAGGAGGTAGGAGTGCAATAGAAATGGTATTCAAAATATTTTTTTATCCAGGGAATTTTTTGTAAGAATTCATCTTCTCAGGTTACATGTTCAGTATGGTATTTTTTATTGGAGCTATTGATCAGCATTCCTAGGAATGCCATATTTATATAAATGAGAGACATATTAGTCATTTTTACTGCTTAAGCTTTCATTGATGAATTTTCATTTTGTCCAAGAATTATTAAGAGTTTCATGTGTGTAAACTTCAGGGTTCATACAGTGCTCACAAGTCTAAGTTTTTAGGAAACAATTTTTGCTTCCTTAAAATCCTTAGTTTCAGCCAAAATTGGTAAAAGGTCCTTAATTTTATTTATCTGCTATTTCTTTTTGTTTTCTATGACTACTATTTTGAGAGAGAATTAACATTTTGGAGGAACATTTTTTGGTGATTCATTGACAAATATATATCTGGTGAATTATCTTTCAGGTTTATTCCTACTTCCTATATAAACCTTTTGATACTCGAATTTCTGAGCATGAGGCTATATCAGAATATAAACATTTTGAAATTGTTTCTTTTTGCAAATGAAGAGTACTAAAATATGAGATCAAAAATAACATTTCTGTGTAGGGGGACTTCTTGAGAAATTAATAATTAATACATTTGTTATGTGGCACTAAATTTAATAACTTATCAACATTTTGACACAGTTAAGATGAGTGTGTATACAAAATTTCTATTCTCAGATTTGTGAAATTTTCATTTTTAAAAACATATTCATAAATCTCATTAAAATAATGATAATGTATTATATATAAAAATATTATTAAAATAAAGCATTTCCATTAGTTTAAAGTGACATTACTTTCCATTCTGGTGACTTCGAAATATTTTAATCTAGAAGATAAAGTAATAAATGCTATAAAGCAAAGCTTCTGAAACATTTCTTAAGCACATGAAAAAAACTACTGTAATTATTTTAAAATTAATTTCATTTTCTATTATATTTTTTCGTAAGTGTTTTACAATGTTATTTTTTCAGAATATTCAACTGTGTATGAGTTTTCTGTATAAAATTCACTTTACCCTCTTTTTTTTCTGAATTTTATTTTTAGAAATCTTTTGTCTTTTCACTCTTACACAGTTGGCAGGGATAATTGTTCTTTCGGATTTTAGATCTTGCACCATGAAACATTTAGGCAAGATTTACAGACATAAGATCCCAAATGTTTCTATAAAAATATGACAAAAAATTATCTTTATGGTATCAACGTATAATAGACTAGTTTTATAGAAAGCTTGTTTGTTTGACGAACAGGGAAAACCTACTTTTGATCCTGGAAGTTTCTCACATAATATGTTTATCATCTCATTATTTTCTATCTTCTCTAGATACCAGATTTGAAAAACTGAAAACTTGGTATATAAGCAGTTAAAATTATATTGTCATATAAGCAGGTATCTGTAGAAAGGAATTTTTCTTTTAATAAAGAATTTAAAAACTGGCAATTTAAATGATTCAGCTTCTCCCCCCTCCACTGCTAGATGAATATCTGATGTGCTGTTATATGTTTCAAGCTGTTATGCACAGCTTCAAGAAAATTATTTTCTACTTAGCCAACCGCAGCTCAGGGCAGGGTTGGCAGGCCAATTGGGCACGTATTTCAGTGTATAAATACACTAAACATTTACAGATGCAGTCTCATGTACATAATGTGGAACTGAAACTTGTAGGCAATCCAGTTTGGCAATTTTGAAGCTCAAAATTTTACAGTTTTGAATACAGTTACAGGTGCTTATAATTTTGAAATTGAAATTTTAGAATAATATTTGAATATTTAAAACAGTATTTCACAAATACCACTTTATTAGTACCAGGAAACAGTTTAATTCTTACAGAGTTTATAGAACTGGCAATTACTACAAATGCTGCTTGATAGTTGCTTAATGCTATTTTTTTTAGTTTAGCATATTATGTGGGAAAACGTTTTCTAGGATATATTAGTCAGTGTCCATTGCTGTAAATGCTATAAGTGCTGCTGCTGAGAGGGTAATTGATCTGCAGACTTATTATGAGCTATTTGGAAGGTAGTTTCAAATTTTTTTACTGTACTAATACAGAAGGTATTTCAAGATGCTCTTTTGGCATGTAATATAATTCTTTCTATGCTGCTTTGCTCTCATAAATTAGTAATAACTTTTCTGACTCTATGTAAGATAAAAAAACACACAAATCAGCTTTATAATTTAATTTAGTAATAGCTTCTTAATTCTTCATTTTTAATTTGGGTGCTTCCTCACTGTATTCTCACAGTAGTAATAACTTTTCTGCTTGACCTTTTCTAGATTAATGTATGCTACAGAGCTTGCATAAAACTGATGACAATGACATAGCTTATTCAGGTCTCAAATTGATCTCAAAATTTTGAGAACTAAAACCTTTCTGACCTAAACCAAAACCTTCCTTTCAGCGATCTTCCATATTGGATAAAGGCTCACTTTTAGCTTCGCCCTCTGTACTGCTTTATGCAATTTCGCTGTGCTCTCTTCCTATCGCAATAGTATTAAAAAATTTAAGTAAACGGTGGCCCCAAATGTGAATTTAAATAAAAATGGATTTTAATCTGCCTCGACTGCCAAGTTTCCTATTTGTTATTGATTAGCATTTTGCACGATCAAAATTCTTCCTTTTCAATATTGATCTATGTCTATGCCATCAGCATTTGCTACGTCTTTTTCTCTCTTTTACCACAATGTTGTAGCTATGTCCTTTTTTATTATACATATATAATTATTTTTGCCATACATCAACATTTTTTTCCTGTCTGTATTCCAATCAGCTTTTTTCTGTAAATGATTTTTTTTTTCTACCTTTAAAATATATTTGTAAAAGAAATCTTTAACTCATAATTGTACAATGCAGATTTTGTTGTCTTGGATTAGTAAGAAAATTTTTACTGAACAACTTCTGCAATACCTTTTTTTAGTGAATTATGCTGTATTTTTAACTGAAGGTATATACATAGTATTCTGCAGATATTGAGTAATTCTGCATAATCAAAAAGAAAATAGGGTTTCAGTATATATTTTATTCCATTATAATGTGATTTTAAGAAATTGCTTCCATAAAAAGCATTTTATTTATGAATATTTTATTACTATTAAGATGAGATGATTAAATATGAGAATGTATTTAAATTCAATTAATAATTTGCAGGAAGAAAGTTTAGCCGAAGAATTTTAACTTGCTGTTGGGAAACTGTTTTAGAAGTCTTGTCAGTTTTATTAAATGGAACTAACTCATGTGGAATATCTAGTACAATAGGTTTCCTTCTTGGAACAGAAGGAGCTAAAGAAGAACACAGAAAAACAAAAGATGCTATAGCTGAAAGTTTGGATGGACTACAGAGAGCTGCAAAGCTCTGTAATATGCTAGGTTAGTTTGCAATATGTGGCATGTACAAATTTGAATAGTGCTGAAAGATTAATTTCAATTGATATTTGAAATGGCACTTTTTGCTAAATTCTAGCTTTTTTAAATACAAGTTAAATAATCCTTTTTAACAAATTCTTTAAGTCACTTTTAAAAATTTTGAAAAAAATTCCGAGATTACATTTTCTGTAATTCTTATATATAAGTTTTGTGTAAGGATGATAAATTTTCATATTGAATGAAGAATATGCATCTAATTCTTTTTAAAATTACATATTTAATTATGATAAATAATTTGGACAATTACTTTATCCTCTTCAGGGCCATTCTGCCTTCTTTTCTCAATTTTTGTTGTCTTAACTCCTCTCCCAAAAAAAGTACTTATGCATCCAAAGAACTTTTTTTGTGTTTTACAAAAGTATGTAAAACACAAAAGTATGTAAATGTATTTAGAAAATTATCATTTATTATTACCTTGGAGTTTCAGAAACATTCTGTATGTATGGCTACAATATATTTAATTCTAATACCTTCAGCAGATATCAAATCATTCTTTCTTACTGACAAAATATCTGTAATTTATATAAAAACACTGACAATGTATATGGCCAGTCTGTGGCTCTCTGGCCACTTAACCATGATTCAAGAGCTGCATGCTGTCTTTTGGCTTCTTAAATGTGACTTGCTTGCAACAAAAAACTAAAACAGAAAATTGTGCAAAAACTGGTTCAGTATCAGTAAATTACACTTTGCAAGTAATAATTTAATCATTTTCAAACTGTGCAGCATGCAGTGATGTACAGAGTTTAAAATAAAATTCCATTTTTGTGAATATATGATAATTTTAAGTAATAGTTTACCTCCTGTGTAGCATTTTTGCTTCTCAAAGGCCACAATCCAGTGTCTTGGAAGTTATGTATTCTTTGTAAGGTACTACTTTAATTCAGCTCTCAAATGGTTTGATTTACCACCTAAAAAATCATGGGGGGTGGGAACACTATTCCATGCAGGCACTTTTTCAACAGGGAAGAATTTGAAGCGTGATAAATATATTTATATAGGAACTAAAAAAAAATAAATATTGTGTGCCATGTGTGTATCTGGTGTGCGTTCTGGTCCATTAAATGTCTCTTTCTAAATCAAGAAGCCCCATAGATTTAACTTATGCCACCCACATGGACTCTATACATATTATATACTTTATGGCATAAGTAAACATTCAGAGTAAAACTTCTTACTCGTATTTGAAGCAAACGGAATAAAACTTTGGTCAACAAATCTATTACAATCTTCTGCTATATGGATGTGCATTAGCATTCAAAATAAATTATCCATCCCTAAATAGCTAAGTTTTTTTTTTTTTTTTTTTCATTTTCTGCACCTTTTTTTTACTACTCACTTAAGTCAGTCATGTTTTTTCAGTTTGGAGCTCAGTTTATGGTGATTATTCTTTGGTCCTAGGCAGCGATCATCATTTACTTTATCCATCATGCACTTAGAAATTTAGGATAATAATTAGGACATTCATCTCCATTGTATTGATAGTGATTTTTAAATTTGGTTCAATGTTTCTGATTCACATTTCTTCAACAAAAACTATTTTGGACTGATTGATATCTTTCAAAAGGAAGAAAATCATATAAAAATGCTTTTGTCTGAAAAAATAGTATTATGTTACATCATTCAGTATTTCACACTTGTGTACTGTAGAAACATACTTTTTAAACTATGGTAAATACAGGGAGAAACCAGAAAGAATATGAATTACAGGAAGGAAGATGCTATAGCTGAAAGTTTGGATGGACATGCTATAGCTGAAATGAAGATGCTATAGCTGAAAGTTCGGATCATGTTTGAACAAATCAGTGGACCTGGTCTTCATCAGTAGTAGCAATATGATCATCAAGAATAGTCCATGTTTCCAGAGAACTCCCATGATACTGCAGTTCAAACTGCAAAAAATTCACATCCATGCTTTCACTCTGTGACAATCTGAATCATATGAATTTGTGAGAGTTCTGCATTTATAAAATCTCCCAAAAGTGGAAAAGACAGTGAAGGGGGACTGACAGTTTAGCAATACACATTTTGCAGTGTGTTCTGTTCATAATTTAAAAAGTCATTTTATATTTTCTGGACACTGTATTGCAAACACTGTAGCATCCTTTCAGGTAATTTCCTCTTATCTTGCCAGTTACTCCAGTAGGATACAGTTTCTTTGTTTTATACGTATACTGATATGACCCTAGTACTGTGGGCTTTGAGACATAAAAGGAAATACAGTCTTGGTAACCAATACACCTGTCAGACAAATACCAATAGTTTATTGTGTTTTTTAGCTCTAACATTAAAATGTTAAAAGTAACATTAATGTTAAAATCTGGAATACTGTATTGACTAAGTGTTTCTGTTTTCGTTGTCCAAGCTCTGTAAGTATAAATGTTTATGTGATCTGCAAACCTTAACACTTTCATGGTGGTTTTACAGTTGAGAGATTAATTTCTAAGCTAATCTCATAACTGTTTTTTATACTAAAGAATAGTATATGTTTTATAAATGTTATCGGTGTCAAAATTCTTAGGAAACATTACTTTGTCATTTGCGAGGGGCAAGTAATAAATTTCCGAATATGCAGTGACGCTACTAGTATCTGCAGCAAATTAAAGATCGTCAAGTTAATAACCCTTTTAAAGCTGGAACAAAGTTATTAGTGTTTATTAAATGTATTATTAATTGTAAATAAGTACTATATCACATAAAAGCATTTCTTAATTTTGCAAAAGTAACTGTTGTAATTATATATTGATTTATAAGAGTTTTGCTCCCAAATGTCATAAAATCATTTTGCACCTGATTAACCCACAAATAGTCTTTTTTTCTGTGAGATTATGTATGTGCATGTAAAGTGAAATAAAATTACTAGAAGTAAATTAAGACAAAAGGTTGAAATAAATTCATAACCAAGTTTTAGGGGGAGGGGTAGAGAAAAAATTGAAACTTAATCAGGTTCTTGAATTTTTTCGAACATCCATATAATAGGATTTTAATGTATATTAATGAATTGCATTGCTTTAATATGCATTTTGCTTTCAAATATTTATTTAAAAGGTTTGTAAATGTTTAAAAAATATATTTCACTAATTCTGCAACTTCAAACATTTTAAATCACATTGATATACGAGGGCTATCCAGAAAGTAGATTACGTTTTGGAATAAAAAAATAAACAAAGTATAGGAAACAAATTTTATTATATACAGATGAAAGCCACACTCAAATACTACTTTTCTACATAGTCACCATACAAATTAAGGCATTTATCGTAGCGATGTACGAGCTTGGAAATTCCTTCGTCGAAAAATTCGGCCGCCTGCCCTTCAACCACTTCGTTACCTCTTCTTGCAGCTGTGCGTCGTCATCAAAACAACTGCATAGCCAGCCACTTCTTCATTGCTGGGAATAGGTGGAAGTCGCTCGGTGCCAGGTCGGGACTGTACGGCGGATGAGGAAACAACTCCCACTTAAAAGATTCAAGAACTTTACGAGTGACATTTGCCGTGTGGGGCCGGGCGTTGTCGTGAATCAACAAGATCTTAGAGCTCAACATTCCTCTGCGCTTGTTTTGAATTGCTCTTCTGAGTTTTTGGAGAGTTTGGCAATACCTTTGAGAGTTTATTGTAGTGCTCTTCTTTCCAGGAAGTCCACCAAAATTACACCTTTTCTGTCCCAAAAAACAGTCACCATCATCTTCCTTGCCGACATTGTTTGCATGCATTTCTGGGTTTTGGGGGGAGAACTTGTGTGCCCCCACTGCATTGATTGCAATTTCGTTTCACAGTTCACATGTTTCACCCATGTTTCGTCACCAGTAACGATGCGATCGAGTAAAGAGTCACCATCCTTATGGTAAGCGTCCAAAAAGTTCAACGCTGCAGCCATTCGCTGATTTTTGTGGTCCTCTGTCAAGATTTTGGAATCCATCTTGCACAAAACTTGTGGTAACCAAGCTTTTCGCTGATGATTTCGTGCAACAAACTTCGCGAAATTTGTGGAAGGGAAAACTCAAAGAAAGTTCCGTTATTGTGAAATTTCGATTTTCACGGACTTTAGCATCGACTTTTTCGAGAAGTTCGGCGGTCACTATGCTGGGTCTCCCACTTCGATCTTCGTCGTGAACATTGGTTCGGCCATTTTGAAATCTTATGACCCACTGACGCACTCCACCTTCAGTGATAATGTTGTCCCATACACTTCACGAAGCTGCCGATAGATTCTATCGGTTTACAGTTTTTTGCAGTCAGAAACCTTATTACTGAGCGCACCTCGCAGCTCGCGGGATTTTCAATTAACGCAGACATTTCAAACCGTCACAGTATCTGAACGGAGCACAGCACGAACCTCTCACTAGCACGGCTAGATGCAGACTGAGCTGCGCAACGCTCTGACCCCAAGATGGCCGCGCTAGCCCCGCCCCTAGCGGACACAGACGGAAACGTAATCTACTTCCTGGATGGCCCTCGTATGAATAGAAGTTCATATATAAGCATTATAAATATATAAGAATTTGAAAATCCTAGTGTTATGTGTAGACTTATTATTTGGTGGAATTAGGTATGTAAATTGTAGAATAGATACACACTTGATATGTTTAAAGCAGTTTGATTTTTGTTTAAATATTTTTCTGTGGTTAAAACATTTATTTGTCATAATACCAGTATGTTATTGCCGTAACACATTACTGCAATTAGCAGTTTTTCTTTACCAACATTTGAACTATACAAATGTATGTTATTTTACTTTTTATAACTTTTTTTATTAATATATTATACTTTTACAACTAAAGGTTTGCAGTCCAGTTGTAGTGCAGTATTTGCTCAATTAGCTCTAGCCTCATGCCCTTTATCTGAAGATGTTTTCCCTCAAATGGCATGCAAAGCAGAATATCGTCAGCAGTTTAAGAAATCTTTAATTCCTGGACGAAACAAGGCATTACGTTTGCATTGCTGTCATATATTAAGCATGGATGTAATCCTTAGCAGAGGTCTTGAATTAGGAAGTCATAGCCCTGAGTGCTGGAAATATGTGTTTCAGTAAGTTGGACTTTAATGGCTTTTATGCTGCATTATATGTTAATATTTATTTCATAAATCACGTGGAAATTTCTTTTCATTCACATAAAATTTCATTCTGTTTGCATCTTTATATGTAATACATCTCAGATGTATTTGAAGTTTCTTTGTGTATTAAATTTTAAATGTTTGTATTAATTTAAGCATTATTAGCTTAGGTAATCTTTCCATTAAATAAGTGAAATTCAATCTTCTTATAGGGTGGTTTTCAAATCAAAATAACTTCACATTTTAGTAAACAGTCTAACCTGAGTCTTTTTTTATCTGGATAAAAACAGAGGTCCGAGGTTGGAGTCCAGGCGAGGGCATTGCTCTTGCCAGGACTCCAACCTCAAGTCTCTCTCAACCAACCTCCCAAGTCTCTCTCATAAAATCAACTTAATGTCTCTATAGTGGTGCCCGAACTAAAAAAGATGGTGAATGAGGATTCTCCACCACCAAGATTTGGCAATTGTGTCCACTAATCCCTAGTCGCCCTTTAAAAGGGTGGAGTATGCAAGGTATTTCTCCCGCTTTCTTTGCATGCCTTCGTGATGTTACGATTAGCACGCTTGGTGCGTATTCAAGAGTTCTGTGGTTCAAGTCGCAGCGAGGGCATTGCTCATTTTTTATGACTCCTGATCCAAAAAAATCCTAATGTCTCTACAATCCCAGATTTGTCTGTTATAAATTCAATTCATCTGTCCAGCTCACTTTTGAAACTATCTGACAATACCATTACACTGGCATTTACATCATGCTAGTAAGAGGTCATAAGTAATGGCATAACTTATACTGTACAATTAATGTTAAAGGTATGAAAAATGTCTTATTTTCTTTCATCTACCAAGCGGACAAAATTTTCCGGTAGATCTTATATTTAAAAATAAATAAATAAATAAACCCCCATGTAACTTGACTATTTTTGCAGCTAAGAGTATGAAACTTGGACAAGATCATTATTTTGTCATACTTCACTTATCTTAAAAATGTAGAACTGCTTATTTTCAAATAATAATAATAATAATAATAATAATAATAATAAAAATGTAGGAAATGTGATGTAAAGTGAAGTAGGAAGAAAGTTGGTCTTGCAGCATTTGAGCGATAAACAGGGGGAAAAAATAAGATGTATAATCACTCTTGACAAAAATGCAAACATTACAGTGATTTTCTATGCTATGCATTAGATTGCGTAGGAGTTTTTGTACTAACAAAATTTATTCGCGATGAACAACTTCCTGAAGCTCTAGGAGCATGTTAGTTAGGGTTTGCTGTGATACAAGTGGTATCTTAGTACATTACATAGGTTTTCAAATGATGTTTTGTTGCGGGGTTCTCAAACTCAAACAGCATGCAGGTCAAACACACAATTTAGAAACAGCTGGCAGGCCCGAATTTTTTTTTAACAAAGTGTAATTTTTCATTAGCAAAATAAATTTTTTAAATAAATTTTAAATTTCTCTTATTAAATTTTTACCAAAACATAGGTGAACAATAATCATAATAATATTGCGAATGAAAAAGAAACTGAGTTTATAATTATTTTTTATCTGAAATCTGAAGGTTGATCTTTGCAAGACATTTTAGTTGGTTCAAATATTTTAGTAGCTAAATATTAATTTTTTGATTGAGCTTTATTTTAAATAATTTTAATATGTGTAACTAATCATTAAATAACTTACTTTAATTTAAATTCGAAAATAAACAAATTATTAAAACCTTCCAAGTTTTCAGAAAAGGTTTACCAAGTGGGAAATTTGAGAGTAAATAATGACAATCTCTTTCTCTTAGCTATTAAATTTTTCTTTGACACAGACAAAAATATGTTTGCTTGTATGTAAATAATTTTGAACATCTTTATTTCTTCAGCTTGATACTTTATAATGGTTTGATTCTGATTAAGTTTGTGGTTTTGGAGTCACATATTCATTATATATTATAACTTCATCACATATTGATGATAACTTAACATATTGATGATAACACTGATCATAACTTCATCACATATTGTAGATGCTCATCAGTTGAATGGATTATCTTCTTAATAGTAGTTGTAAAAAAATAGCTGTTCTCATATAAATATATTCTCAAACTAATTATTCTTAGTGCAGAAATTATCTTTGAATAAGATTTATATCACATTGTAAATATATTAGTATTATTTCTTGATTTTTTTGTGCATTATATATATTTGTTTTTAATGGTAATGAAAATAACTTAAAAAATTCAAATAAACTCAAGTAATAATTCAAAAGTCAAACAACGAAAATCAGTTTATATTTTCAAATTTTCACAGGACTAGTTTCGATGGTTTTACTGAATGTATTTTTGCAGCTGAGGATGGTGGTTCGGTAAAACCATCGAAACTAGTCCTGTGAAAATTTGAAAATATAACGCTGATTTTTGTTGTTTGACTTCTGAATTAGTATCTGTTCGACGTGTTATTGTGTCTTAAACTCAAATAACTTTAACCTTGAAATCTTCACAATACAAAATTTGCAACAAATACATCATTGAAATTTATTCGTGGATGTATGCATTGGTGGCTGCATGCAGCTCATAAGCTGTTCAATTTGACACCATTGTTATATTGGACTTAAATATGGACAATATGTTAGGTATTCCATCTGCTGGATTCTTTCACCGTCAAGATAATGTACTGGTCCAGCACGATGGGCACAAGCATTATCATTCATCAGGAGGAAGTTATTACCTATTGTATGATTAAAACTTTGACATAGGGATCAAGAACCTAATCTTTGTATATTTTAGCATTCATGGTTGCACTGATAAAATGTATAGGTCAATCTGACCTACACATTCAGAATGGTGCCCATCCATACAGTAACTCCACAACTTTTGTACTGGTGCCATTCTTGGTTGTTTTCAGGCTTAGTGCATGAATTTTACTCCCTCCAGTTTTAACATGTCTGGAATCACTCTTCAAGCAAAAATGAGTTATCTGTAAACATATTTTGACTTCAGTCTCTGATACTCCAGTCAGCATGATCTTTGAACCAGTCAGCATGATCTTTGAACTGGGTGCATTTCACAGCCTAGTTAGAATAACATAGATCATAAATTTCCTTGCATACAGCTCTCTTTTATGCAACCTGTCACTCTCATTTTATCTGGATAGTCAAGTTCTTCTAGCTTCAGCAAACTCAACTCCCTAGCAGTCTAAATTGATGTCATTTACTTCTTTCTTTTAGAAATCATTGCCAAATAATTGTTCTAAATAACCAGTGTGTTGTGGTTCATGTTTAATCTTGATCTGTTTGTCTACATAAATCATCAGTATTTAAACTGTTTTCAGATTCTTGATACGATGCTAGTCCATGTAGATCTGTGTCAGTTTTTGTCATGGTTCCGTTCTCCCAATCACATGCTTCTCCTCACTATTCATCAGATGCCTTCTGAGATATTCCACCTGGGACACATAAAAATTTTACCCAACTACTCGTATAAACTCTGAAATTAGAAGTGCCCCTTCTTTCTATGCATGAGGAAGGAATAGATGCAAAAATTTTCATATTTCAATGTAGTGAAGATGAATCCCAACATTGATCTTGAGCTATCAACCAACCACCTCTCATTAGACTTCATTTAATAGTATTAAACTTTTTTTAATAGGTGTTCCTTTCATTTTCCCCTCCTGCATATTATATGGGTAAGATATAAGTGCTTCAAAAGATTGTTTGTAATTTAATGCAAAGTACTCGAAAACTTTTAGGGAGTTGGTTTTATATGCAAACAGGGTTTTATGTTAAATATGAGACAATTGCTTTAATTTGTTTGGTCTTGTTTTCTGATAAATCCTTAAATTGTTTCATTGATAGCTCATGAAATTACTTAGACTAAATAAAAAAAAAAAAAAATTGCTTACTCTGTCAGTTGGATTATAAAGCCAATCTTTTTTCCCAAAGTTTTGGTTTCTGTCATATAATTTTAGCTTTATTTTTACTGTAAGCATTCTATTAGCTGAAAAATCATAAACAAATATTTGTGTTACAGAGATAAATAAAAATATGAATTTCTTTAGACATTTTCGGTATATTTAAAATCTTATTTTTATGCACAGAATTTTTTTTAATATTTCTAGAAATAATATTGAATTTCATCTTATTTTCTCTTTTGCTAGGTGTTGCTTATTTGTCCTGCAGTTAGAGAATACTTACTTCAGTGGACATGGGAATATTCAGTCTATACTTTCACGCCCAGTGCTACCATCTTTTAATCAAACAAATCAGAATGAATCTTCTGCAATGTTATCAGATTCTTCTGGGTATCTGAACTTTACTTTCTTATTCAAATAAGAATTTACTTTGTTTTGAGCAAATAATGTAGTTTTCTATTGTATTCTAAAAATTCTTTCTGTGTGTAATTATTTTATAAAATTAGGAGTGTTTATAGTTTTTTTTTTTTTTTTTTTTTTTTTTTTTTTTTCCAGAAGTGAGTTAAGTTTAGCAACCATGCCTGGGTCATCAGCTCCTCAAAGACTAGAGGTTAGTGAAATAATTAAGCAAAATCGTGGTTTTGCTCACTCATCTGATGTAATCAAAGATCAACAGTTGCTAGAAGCCATTGAGGCTCTGTCACAACAAGTCGATAGGTTAGTTAACTATATGCTTTATATTTTTTCAAGTGCTTTTTTTTTTTTCTCTTTTAAATATATAAATAAGCTCTGAGTAGGGTAGCTATGAAATCATAAATGTGAATCTTTTCCAAAAACTCTCAGTGATTGAATACTACTCTGCAAATATTAAGTTACTGACGTTTTTCAAATTCTGGTTAAAAAAGAGAAGGGGGAAGAGAAGGCACAGTCCGAAAACTTCGATTACATGTGATACCTCAAAGAGGAGTTTACCATTAAAATTTTCAAGAAATTAAAACAATACATAAGGAATTAAAAAATGTAAAGCATCATAAAAATAAAGGCACTTTCTTATTATAACAGCTCCTGAGACTGAATTACTTATAAATCTAGGTATCTTGCTCGGGGCTAAATTTCTGAGATTAGAAGTGCCGGAGCCCTATGGGAAGACCGTCAGCAAAGAGGAACAAGAGTATATAAATAAATAAAATGACTATTAAACTCATTAATAATTTTTAAATGAAATAGTTAATTATTATCAAATTAATAGCTATTTAATTAATGTTTATAAGTTGTTATTTAATCAATAATTATTGCATAATTAATTAATTAATTATAATTTAATTGATAATTATTATATAATTAATTATTATTTATTGAAATAATTAAGATTGAAGTAATTATATAATTAAAATTAAATAAAATGTAAAGAGATAAATTGAAATTTAATACGCAGTTTTTAGTATAATTTTATTGTTAAAATAAAATTTTCGAGATAAAATTTTTAATGAAATTGTTATTCAATTACATAAAATAACTGCCGCAGCCTTCTTATTCAGGGCTTCGATGCGTTCTGGCTAGAATTTTGATTTATTGCAAAAATTAAGAAGCACCGGAGACGAGATTCGGTGTGCTCCGGCCCAATTTAAGCTCTGATCGTAAGGGGGGGCTTTTTTTTATCATCACAAAATTTAAATATACTTAAAGTATAGCTGATGAAAATTCCAGGGCGAAACAAAATGAGGGTATGAGTGGGTGGAAACAAAAAATGAAGGGAATCTTGGTGAGAGAGGACGTTTTCTTTGACCGCGACTCTCTGCTGATATAACTATAGCCATCAAGCAGATATGTGTCAGGGGTAAAGTGGGTCCTGAATCTGACTCCTAAGGATGAATATAAAGTTGCTGGTTATGCTTTTTTCCCTATTAGTGGATACTGTGGTTAGACAATGTATAGCACGTGCTTGAACAGTTTATCTTAGTATTTTACTCTTATTATACTTGCTATCACTTAACACACATTTAAGAACACAAATTTTCCTTCCTACGAGGATAACTATAAGCATCGATAACAATACACTAGATAGGATAGCATGGCGAGAAATTTACGCTTTCCTAAACAAAATCCCCTGAATTTATTGCTTTTCTTAAAGGAAAAGGTTTCTGCATGTGAGTGAGGGGACTTTATTTGAACGTCTCATGTTCTCACGAGTTCATATTTTTAGGGAAATAGAGTAATGCAAGGTCTATTTATTGTTAAACTAAAACATTAGGAATTCTAATTTTTTTCCCCTTTAAATTGTGGTTCAGTTTTATAAAAAGAAGTGCTGGAGCACATCTTATTTATGGCTCCGGTGTCCTTCGCCTAAAATTGTAATATATCTTAAAAATTGAGAAGCACCTGAGCCGGGCTCCGGCGCAATTTAAGCTCTGATCTTGCCACATGTTCTTATATCAGTATCGTGTTTCATTTTTGCTAATGTTTTCGAATTCTCATTATTATTTTTTTAATATGCCTGGAAGATGGGATTGTTTGTCATTCAGATCTCAAATACAGTTAGTACATTAATGGAGAAAATTATTCAACATGTGCAAGGTGAATCAACAATCTATTCAGAGTGCTGGAAGGGATAGAAAAGGAGCAACCTGAAGAAGTTGGTTACAGTCACTTAAACAGTTATTAAAAATATTATTAGCAAACAAGATCTGAGTATTTTTATTATTATTATTTATTGTGTTATTTTTATATTTGCGCTTCAGGGATTTGGCAAAATCATAGCTGCGTAAAGCTCGGCGGCCACTATAATAAGGAAATACCAAATTAAAAAAATAAGTAATTTTGTTCCAGTAGTGTAGTATATGACACTGTAATGATTATTTATTAGTTAAAACAATATTGCAAATTGTGAAACATTTACTGGTATGATATATTTTAAATTAAATGTATTTTCATTTATACCTATTAGTTATATTGTTAAAATAAGTAAGCTAAAGATTTAAGTTATTCAGAAATGTATTTATTGCTTTTAAATCACTTAGAACTTCATTAATAACACAGTGATTAAATTTTAAAGGGAGTAATATGTGGAAAGTAAATTGAAGGTGTTATTTTTTGTGCAGTGATTATGCAACATGCATTGCAGATATGCATAAACATTATGCATTATGTTATAAATTGAGTGTATTTTAATTTATGTAATTTATATTCATTTTTAGAAATGTAAAACAAATATTATTTATTGCTTTTAAAGCACTTTGTTAATAAGTTATATACAAATTATTGATTAAATTTGAAAGAAATGAAAGATCTTGTACTTTGCTGAATTGCAGTATTCTAAGAAATGGCATGAGGGTGCATGGTCCTTGTTTATAGTAATTATAGTTAAATAAATTAAAGGCATTGCATTTTGTGTAATGGTTTATTTTTGCTTACACCAAAGGCTTCCAAATTCTTTCTGTTATTCTGTGATAGTTTTTATGACATGAAATATTATGGATTTTGTTTTCCTATGACATGACTTTGTACACTAACCTAAAATAATGCACTTCCTTTGAGTTAAATGAGGGGGAGGAAAAAAAAAAATAGCTATTTTACAGTTAAGTTTTTTTTGTTACATATTCTTAACTTGATATTATTTTTTTACTGAAAAATGATAAATGCTTTCTGCAGAGTGTGTGGTATGGCATTTTTATTATGAATTTTAAGGTAGCCACACTTATTTGCAGTAGTATCATCTGTAAACTTTTGTGTGAAAGTAATTTTAATATCTTATTTTTAGACTTCATGTATTAGTTTGTCCTTTCCTAATATTTATTATATGTTTTACTTTTAAATATAGGTTATTTGAAGAGGCTGCTAGCAGATTAAATCTTTCAGCTTTGATTAGTTTTCTGGTTGAATTATGTGCTGCAAGCCAAGTGCAACTGTTTACTCAAAATTACACAAAGTCCACCTCTTCATGTAATCATGGTAGTAACCTTCTTCTCTATCATTTGGGTGATGTAATGTTGAGATGTGCCAGAGGAGGCAGGCCATTGATACATGTTATGAAAGCATGGAGTGTAGTTGCTCCACATTTTGTTGAGGTTGGTTATCTTTAATTGATCAGTCTTTATTATCTGTTTAATATATGTTAATACTGTGTTTTAGTAAAATTAATATATCATGTTATTCAGATAGTAATATGGGAAACTGTATATAAAATTTCATTTTGTCCTTCTTTGAGTATTCATGAATTGTTCATTTCTGTGGATTTCACAATCTTAATGTAATACAGTTTACAGAGAGAATAGCTGTGCTATATTACTCCATTTAATGTGTAAAGTTAATTAAAAATGTTTCTGAAAATTTGTGTTAATGTAAATTGCTTGCTATAATAAATTATTAAGCTATTGAATATAACTGACCAAAAATTAATCTAGCTGACAGATTAATTTTCTGTTTGAAGCAAAAAAATAATTACTTGAATATTTATTTTCATAAAATTAAATATATTTAAAAATATATGGTTGTAAAACTGTAATTTAAAATGAATGATTAATTATTTGCTTGATGCATTGTCATATGTACATAATACTGCCATAAGTTCTGTCAGTAAAATCTTAACGTGCAGTAGTATGGTAGTTGTGAATAAATAAGCTGAATGTCATCACCCTTAAGGTCAACTTCATGGACTCTGCAAGTAACCGGCTTGCAGTGTGTCAACAGTAGGCAGCTGTGGAAGATGGAGTGAGGAGTGTATGAGAATGATATTGCTGTATTGGCATTATTTTGTTGTGGAAAGTGAGCTAAGGAAATTGTTTTTGTGCTGAAAATTCTCGGTATCAACGAATGGTTTGTGTTTCGAAAAATAGCACAGTTTAAACAAAGAGAAGTCAAATGCTGATCGTGTCAGATTGGACTGTCCTAGATGTTTATGCAGAAAAGAAGTTGTGAATGATGTTTTTACAAGGATTTGATACAATCCTTTGCATACACAAGAAATTGTGTCTGGTGAAATGAATATATCTCCACAAACTATGTCACAGATTTTGAAGGATGATTTACATGTTGGTGCATATAAAAGGTATACGTGGCATTTAAAAACTGAAAAATTAAAGACGATATTCTGGGTTCGATCACAGGCTTTGTTAACAATATATGGAGAAAGCCAGTATCGTGACATTCTATTCACAGATGACAAAATACTCACTGTGGAAGAGTTATTTAACAAACAAAATGGTTGTGTGCATGCACAGTCTTTCAAGGAAGCAAGAGAAAAAGTTCTATGTGTGCAGTGCAGATATCACCCTGCTTCTGTCATGGTATGGTCTGCAATTTCTGGCGGGAAGTGTTGACATTGCATTTTTACAAAGGTGGAGTAAAAACTTCTGCAGCTTTCCTGGTGATACCACATATCAATTTGAAGCTGTTTGAAGGGAAATTGTGGATTTTCCAGCAGGATAGCATACCTACACACAAAGCAAAATCTATGCAGCAGTTTTGGAAACCTTCCTATGGCTCATCGCTGATGCTGAGAGGCCTAGTGAAAGTTGAGACCTTATTCAATTATTCAGTGTGGCAGAAGCTCGAAGCAACAGCATGTCAAAATGCACCACAATATTGAAATGTTAAAAAAATCTATTGTGCCAGCTGCCAAAAAAATTCCACTAGACATGATTTGTGCAGCTATTGGCAAATTGGCCTCAACTTCTTTGCTGCTGTGTTGCCACACATAGTGATCATTTTGAATAAGAGTATGTTTATTCTGTTGCATGTTTTGTGTTTTTTCAGAGTATGTGCATATTAATGGGTTTTATTTAGTAGTTATTATGCATTGAAAGCGCTGACAGAACTTATGGCAGTACTATGTATATAAATAAGTAGGTTTCAAATTCATTGAATTGATTTACTTTATTGGTTTATAAATATCACAAATTTTATTTAGGTTTTATAAAAAATAAATATGGTTAAGGAAATAGCAAAAGTTAAAATAAAGTTAAATAAATTAAGATAAATATGATGGTCAAATACAAGTCAAAAATAACTGTATATATATTTTCAATGGAATCAGAAAAAAATGAAATTATTCCTTCTTTGTAAGAGCCATTATTATAAACCATATTTTTTAAAACTTGTAAGTTTCTTATTTATGCTAAATTTGTTGTTTTGTTTTTCCATTTCAAAAGGCAGCTTGCCATAAAGACAGTGTAATTGCGAAGAAAGGTGTAACAACTATCCATGATATTGTCAGTGCTCTCCTGTCATCAAATTCTGAACTCCCACATTTTCATTTTAATGAAGCTCTGTTTAAGCCATTTGAAAATCTTCTTTGCCTTGAATTGTGTGATGCAGATGTTCAAGAACAAGTAATTGACTTTTTTTTTTTTTCATTTGATTTATTTTGAGTATGTTCTTATATAGTAGCAATACATAACCTATGAGCCATTTGCAGCCTCTTATAAAATTTGCTAACTGCACTATTTTAACACTGCAACTAACATTTAAAATGTAGTAAACCATTTTAGAGTTCTGTTTTTATTACATTATTTATGTGATGAAGAGAAAAAATTAAACTGAAAAGTATAGGGAAACAGTGCAGAGTGTAACTGTCTAGTTGTTACTTTTCAAGAGCTATCTAATTTTTATTATGTCCCCTTACCACTGCTGTAGCCAAGTGTATCACAGCATAAAGTTCATAGAAATTCACATAAAGTTCATAATTGAGTTCACAGAAAATTATGACAATTGAAATTCATAGAAAATTAGGAAAATTCATAGTAAGTTAGAGAAGTGAAAAATTGTCTGGGAAAGTTCAGGAAAATATAAATGGTCTTCAAAAAGATCAGGAAAAACCAGATATCTTTCAAAATGCCAGGGGAAAAGAAAAGAGTTGATCAATCATTTCAAATACAGTCAAAAGTCTTTAATTTGGACGTCCATAATCTGAAATGATCTATAATCCAGACCTCAAAGCTACAAACTTTCTGTGCATGCGTCAACGCATACGCATATGCGTCAACACATGCGTGTTTAATGTATAACGGATGGTATAAACTAAGCTAAAATTATCTAATTCAGTTAATGTTGCAGATTGTGTTGTTCCTTAATCTTTTAATTGGATCCAGCTACCATTCCGAAATATGTTTATCAATTTCACGCTGCTCTGCCAGGGAATGGGGACATCACGGCACACAATGAACTGGAAGTTGATCTGTCAGCACTATCCTTATCTTCAGGGCAGATGTTTTTATTTTATTCGGCTTATAATTCCTTACTAAATGTAGTATTTCATCTCGATATACTCCATCTTTGATATGGTTTAAATCAAATTCCTCATCATTATAAATATCATGAATACACATCAAATAGTTTTCTTGTTGCAATTTTCTAATTTCGACTATGCGTAATGTATGCTTTACGCATGCGCACACGTGTTGAAAGATGAAGTAAACAAATAAATATTAAGCTTTTTTTTTTTTTTTTTTTTTTTGTAAATTTTTAATACCCTTTAGATCAATTGCTCTTTATTTCATAAATTATGGTTTCATATTTTTAATTTTATAATTTCTGCATGACATATTACCAGATTTAAACTGATGATCTATAATCCGGTAAAACCGATAATCCGGAAACGCCGAAGTCCCGACGAGTCCGGATTAAAGACTTTTGGCTGTAATAAAAAGTTCATGCTTTAAAAATAATAAGTAATAAACAAAAATTGCCATATTGCAGAAAGTATTTGCCCACTTCGTATGTCTTGCACACTATCGTGATATAAATTTACCAGCCTATAGCTCTATTCTACTCTTATTAGTGAGTTGTTTTTCATTTTTCTGTTTAGAAATGTAGTTTTTCTACTACTACTCTCTTTAGGAATTAATTACCTTTCTAAAGTTTATAGTGTTGTTAGGAGTTACTACAATATGGAAATAAACACTGCAAGAAATAAATGTGTTAAATAAACATTTTTTTAAATCCATTATAATTTAAAACTCCATAGTTTATCTTAAAACTCCCTGATGTGTAATATTTATTATGAGTGATGTACTGCTGTATGTTCCTTTTACATAATAAGTTTTCCCCCCAGAACTTGATATTACTTTTAAAAACCCGATGTACTATCTAAATGGTTTAGATATATATTTCATATATATATATATATATTTTAATTTGGCCCCTTTCCAAAAATAAGTAAGTTAAACTTATATAAAGTTCATATGTATTGTATTGTATTTTGTAGTAAACATATAAAATTATCTTGTATTGTACTTTATTTAATATCAACTTCTTTACATGTGTCAGAGAAATGGTTCTTTTTGGTCACAAAAATTCAGGGAAATTAAAAGTTGAGTGTCAGTGGGAACATATATATATATATATTTAATATATCATGTATTTAACAAATATTCTCTATTTGTATAAAGCAGAAATAAAATAAAATAAAAATATAATATCATGTACTTACACATACACTTTGATCATAATTTTTGTACTAAATTTTTAATCAAATGAAAAAGCTGCCAGATTTTATTTTTATTACATTTTTTTAATTAATACATATGGGCTTGCTTATTTCAGATAGTTAGTTCAATATGTGAATTTGTGGAAGGATGTACAACAGAAATACGTTCAGGTTGGAGACCTCTATTTGGAGCCTTGCGTGCTGTTCGAATTCCATGTTTGTCTTCCAGCACTACTGAAGCTGGCGTGGAACGAGAACATATTCACCATCTGAGAGTAGTTTTGGATGTTTTTGAAGCTTTTCTTGGAACAGATAATATTTTTGTATTTGCATATGCTGCTGTAGATTGCCTTTTGTGTTTACTCAAGCATGTTAAGGGTCCAAGTATGTTTAATTTATTTTTGCTTGAATGTTGACAAGTTACTTTAGTGCATTATGTGTATTATAGTATTTTTGCACTAAATCTCAGAGTTTGTTCTGCAAAAATTAATGTGGATGCTTAAAAGTTTATATATTCTTAAAAAGTCTGCTTTACTTAATTTACTCAAAAAGCTGCTTATTATCCTAAAATATTATTTTTAATGAATTTAATTAATTAAAGAATTAAGGGATTTTTAATGAATATTATTAATATAAAATATTAGTTTTTAATGTTTTAGTAATTTTCCTCATTTTCTTTCAACAGCTGAGTTAGAGGATTTATCTTCAGATTTATCTGATGATGTTAACAGCCACATCGTTCCTTTAGATATGTGTTTAGCAGCTTTAAGATACCTTGAAAGATGTTCTGCTATTCTAGCTTCTATGTATACAATGCCAACTTGTCCAGTTTTTAATTCTGCCAACAGGTCATTCATTATATGTGTTCTATCGTATGAAATGTGAAGCACTTTTTTAAATATAAAATTAGGGCATTGTGAGCTGTTTCATTCTATTTTATTTGTTGCAAAAATTTTTCAAAAATCACCAAAAATAAGTATTAAAAATGTACTGTATTATAAACTTAATTGTCTTATTCTTTGCTGAATAAACAGTGTTATGATTTATTAATGTAAAGAGTATCATGATTTTCATGTAATGATATTAATTAATGGCTTAAGGAAAAATAACAGGCAGCTTCTACTTTCATTATAAATATACTTTATAAAGAAATAAAATTGTTCATAATCTAATTAGGTGAAGATATGTATTAAAATACATGTAATTCTAATGTGTTATAATTTATTAATATATTAACAAATAATTGTTTTATAATTTATTATAAAACATTTAGAACTTTGATGTTTTGTAGATGTTTATTATTAGACATTAACTGTGTTTCTTTAGTAATTTCTGATTAGATTGATGACAGCTTTAAAAAATTAAATTGAGGTCCACCTTAAATACTAGAGTAGTTAAATAAAGAAACAAAACAATCAAAGACAAAAAAAGAGGAGAGAAAGCAAAAGTATTATCACTTAACAGGGTTCGTAGCGGTCCTTATAAGTCCTTATATTTGAAAATAAATTATAAAGGCCCTTATAGGTGCTTACTTTTTCTTTAAAGCCCCTATTTTTTTATCTTGGTGCTTATTTTTTGCTTTTAGTGCCTTGGTTTTTTGTGTGTATGTGTGTGTAATGAACGCGCTATTTTTCCTCGTACCAAAGCCGAAAATAAGTAAACAACTTTTCTTTCTAGTATGGAATGTCAGATGGTGAGTCATACTCCTGGAAATAGCTTTTTCCCCTTTCTCTGCCTTAACATAACCTTTGGTGTGCACGAAGAGTACAGACAAGTGCCCGTCATTTTATCAGTCAGTTCAAGAATTGCGAAAGCAGTATTGCAGAAAATTGCAGAAAAAAAAAGAATTGCTGAAAATTCCGCTACATTCAGCATTCTTTTCCTCCCACCCAAATACTACACACGTTTGAATTTCTATCAAGATCTTAAAAATTTGCATTCTCGTTCTGCTTGGTTAGTTCATATTCATGTTTATTATGATCGTTATGCTTATATTATGGGCATATGTATGAATGTTTATATAACTAGTTGCAATAAATGCTGAAGTATAGTAAACTTCCAAAAATGGTGGTGTTTTAAACAGATAATTTAAGGAATAATATTTGGAATGGCTTAAATAAAGGAAAAGTAATCGAATAGTCAAAATAATTAAATTTTTTTTGGCCAATATATTGTACAGTACTAAGGTTGGGAGGTCTCCCCTTTCTCCGCAAAATCTTGAATATTGAAACTGTTACAGTTCGCTGCAAAACAAGCCACGGACCTCTTTCTTTTTTTTTTTTTTTTTTTTTTGGGGGGTCACTTTCCGATCTGGATTGAATAGGACTAAAAGTTCTGCGGTCTACCAACCCAAGCGAAGAATGATTCTATTCCGGAAATCTACGCCGTTCTGTTGAAAATTAGAATGAAAAACACTCCGTTATTTAGTTCTTTATTCTCCCAATACCAGCAGCTGTTGAATCCAATTGCGTAATATCATGCAGGGAAGAATTACGGTGCACGTTTTGTGCAATAACATTTGCGATATTGCAGAGATAATTAATTTTGATGTTCGGATCTTTAAAAGAGTTTACTGTGCTTGCTAAACAGAATATTTTTCTGTTCCGTTGGTTTGTTTTTATATGATGCACATATAGAAATGTCAAAAGCATATATTTAGTGGAAAAATCTAAAGAACGGCTACAGTCTATCCTTCCCCTCCGCTCCTCTTTTATAAGTTACGCTCGACTGTCCGAATATTCGCCAACTTTCAGTTATGCGGGTAGTTGAGCTTTTACTGTTAAAGATGACTGCTGCATGAAGCAAATTTCTGTCTTGTGATTTCAGAAATGTTCCTTTTTTTTTACTTAAATTGCTTTGCTTGCAATATCTGTAAGAGAAAAAATGATATACAATGAAAATTTAGATTTAGTTATTTAAATATCAATATGAGTGGAAAAATAAATTGTATTTATTATTAGGTTTCCAAGCGAATACAATAAATATACCTTATTATTATTTATTTTCTCTATTTTGAACTGAAATTTATCATTAAATCTTGTAATATAGTTTAGTTCTTCATAGTTTTTTTTTTTCTCTCATTGTAAACTAGTTCGTAAATTGAATATTATTTAAAAATAAAAACAAAAAAAAAGTAATTATTTCCATGGTTGAGGTAAATGCTTATTCTCTCTTAATAATACTTATTCTCATATTTTAAATTACAAGTCTAATTTTAGGTTATGCAGTTGTGTATGAGTAATTAGACAGGTTGCTTTTTTTTTTTTTTTTTTTTGTTTAAAATGTGCTTGTAGGTGCTTATTTTTTTAACTAAAATGTGGCTATGAACCCTGCTTAAGAGGAAAGATCATGCTAACTGAAATTTCATCTTGCATAATAGTTCATTTTCTGTTTGAAAAATTCTTGTCATAGTGTATTGTCAGAATCTAAAGAGAAAATGCAGGAGGTGATAGTGGACATAGTCAAAAGTGATACTCAAGGAATTGGAACTTGCATATACTTAAAAAGTAGTAGAATGTCAAAACTGAAATGCTGCAGAAGAAACTTTAATTTTGAAAGCAAAGAAAATGTCGTTTAATTGTTTTTAACCATTATAAAGAGAAAAAAACAAGAGTGTGCAATTAAAACATTTTTAAGTGCTCACATGTATATTACATAAGATCAATGATTGATATATTTAATAAGCATATTTTTGAGATTAATTAAAGCAAAATTATTTACTCTTATTAGTTTTTATCCCAAAGGGGAGTTAGACACAAAGGGCTATTAGTCTCAAAACGACATTTTGTGTCATTTCACTTTCTGCATTGATTCATTTTGCAAACTGTTGCCACCAAATGTTGTCACCATGTATTATATCTAAAGAAACTAAATGAAGATTCTGCATGAATGTTTCTTACATTGTGCAAAAACAACGGTACCTAGAGCCATCAAATTTTGAATAACATAGTCCTCCAATCAAACATAACCACTTGGGAGCCAGAATTTTTAATTTTTATTTTGTTTTATTATCTATTTCAAATTTTGTAAAACTTTAACAAATTTTTGATGAACAAACTCAACAATTTCAAAGGGAGCAATGGCAACACCTTATGGAAAGAAACATTTTTATCTCCAGCACACGAGGCTGTGTATCGGAAATTCTAAAGCTATGCTTTTTTAAAATTATTTTGTGATATTGCTGCTGAATTGAATTTTATCTGGTTTGAGTTTGAAGAACATGGTATTTAATAAATAAAGTAACATACAAAACTTTAAGGGCATAATATGAAATCTGAAATCTTTGAGATTTTCTTTCTTTTTTATTTATTTTTATGTTATGTGAAAATTCCAATGTTAAAATGCTTGGAAGTAGTTGAGAAATATATCTGTGATATTATATATAAAATATTTGTTACATCTTGTTTATTATTTGAAGGCATATGCACTGCAGAAATTTCATTAGTGTTTTTGAAATGCAAAGTGTCCAAAAATAGTTGTTATTATTACAAAAATTCATATCAAAACTATGTATTAAATTCAGATGAAATAATGTAATAGAAATACGTTTTGTAGTAAAAGAAAGGGACCTTACAAAATTTTTATTGCAAAAATGCAGTATACAAAAGCCAAAATTATTAGTGCATATTGAATAAATTTCAGCATTTGCTTCCTTAATTGTTTGAAGAGTGTCCAAACTTTGCTGTATTCTCATTGAATTTTTTAAACATCTCTAACATGTGTAACAAATCCAGTTAATGGGGATGGGGAATTGTAATTTTTTTAGTGCTAATTATTTTGTGTTCATTTAAATGTCTGTATCCAAGTGTAAATTGCGAGGATTTTTTTTTAAATTCCTTATTGTACCTTTTGAATTTCTTCTCTTTGACTATTGTAGATTATTTATTTCAGCTAAACATTCAGTACATTCCTTTTTTCTTGTGCTTTTGCTATTTTGAACTATCCAATCTGCTTGCATTATCTATTTAACAAGGTTTTAAACATGGGTTGGATGACACTTTTTGAGGTATTCTTCCTTTTACCATAAATGACATTTCAGTAGGCTTTGAGTATTATGTTTTTAATATGTTAATTCTGTGCTGTGCAATGATAAAAATATCTATGTTTTGCAATTATAGTAGTCTTTTTAAGGAAATCTGTTCTCATACATTGATGTTAGTTTTCGTTGTCTGCTTGTAAAACATGCTGTGAATAATATGTCAGGATGTGCTGGCATATCTGCAAAGAGATTTATTTATTTTTAAGAGTGCAGTACATTTGTTTTTTAGGATCCAGCTACGTTCTGAACCCAACATTGTAGATTTTTTTATACCTGGAATGCAACTAGTGCATTTTGATGATCCAAGCAGTATTTCTAATGAGTCTGAAGATAATAAAAGTGAGACTGCGATAGGAAAAATGATGGATGTAAGTATTTAACTAAATTAATTTTATTCCAACTTTTAACAACATAGCACAGTTAAAATTCATATTATTGGTATTTCATTTTACTTTTCATGCTATGTTTTTAGATATCCAAAAAATAAATTTCATTTAATGATTAAAAAAAATTGAAAAGGTTTTATTGAATTTTACTATTATTGGAAAACTGCTGTTATTGGAAAACTACTCATAATTCATAATGAGACTGGTGTTTTTATGTCCCCACATTATAAAATTATGTTAAAAATCATGAATTGTCCAATAAAAAACTTCATGGCCATAAATTTACAAGTTTAGATAGTTTATTTCACTTTTTTTTTTTTTTTTTTTTTTTATTTTTTCTTTTTATATTTTTTATTGGGGATCACCTTTCTGTTGTGTAATGTGAAAACGAGAGTGTAGTGTTAAGCTCCCCTCTCCCATTGAGCATATTTGGCAACCAGCATATGCAGATCTTTCAAAATTCTTTGCAGTTTGATCCAATTCCATGGAGAAAGGATTGTTAAATTTATAGGGAATGATGAAAAATGACCAAACTATTGTTTATGTAGTTTTACAAACTGTCTCTTTGATTGCTTGCACAGAATTACCACTTTAGAAACAGTACATTCATTTGAAGTCCTCTTCACATGTAGAAGTAATGAATGATGTTTTTTTTTCCTTTCTAAATAATAATGTTGCTTATTTTGCATTAAAAATTTTAATATCATACATTTCGCATCTATTTTTGAATTATGGAACAGGAATATTTCAATTCAAAAAGTGCTGATATGTATCTTTCAATCTACAGCTTGTTTACCTGTGACAGTTTGAAAAATGAATAAACTTAAAAGTAACAGATGATATTTTTTATTTCAAATAATGCCAGACATTTGGTTTTAAAGTTTTTTTTATCGAAATTGTTTGAAATGTGTAATTACCCTCTGTATATATGCATGTTACAATTTAAAAGAAATTCTGTAGAATTTTCTCCCCTTCAAAAGTGAAAGAAATTACACATGTTATCTGAAGGACACCTGATTAAAGCTGTCTGTAATGCCTGAGTATAATTTCTACGCTTTGATTCACAATTATTTATCATTGTTAGAAAAAAATAATATTATTGAATAAAAATACACTCAAAGAAATTTTTGTACATATAATATATATTGAGTGATCTAGAAATTTGTTACTCAGTATTTTTCTATTGTTACCATTGGAGAAATAGAATTTTTGTCAAAGAACTGATTCTTTTGAATAATTTTAATATTTTCTTACTTATGAATAATATGACCTTTTTTTTTTTCAGGTTAATGTTATCAAACAAATTGAAGTTCAAGTTACCCTTCAGAGTCTTGATAAACACACTGGTATTATGCATGTTTGGTTCCTTCTTCTGGAAGGCTTAGCTGGTGCATTAGCTACTTGCCCTAAACGATATCAATCACATACTATTGAATCATTGTTCAACATGCTGCAACATCTTAAAGATGTTCCAGGTATATTTTGATAATCAGTATTAATATGATGCATTTGGAATTGCAGTGTGTTGGCTAGTTAAAAGAATCTTAGGATCTTATTAAGATATCTGTTTCTAATGTAAAAGTGCTTAAGTTATTCAGGTTATTCTGTCATTATTCATCTGGTATCTGAGAAAATTTCAACTGATAAAATAACTACAGACTCACTATAATGATCTGAGCAGGATCAAAAGCTTGGTTCACTGTATCTGCTTCAATAAGGAAAAAAGATTATCTCACAAAATAGTGTGAAAATTGATTGATGAATCAGAAGAGGAGGGAAACTGATTAACATCACATTTACCAAAAAAGTGAATAATAACTATTAATTTTGAAGGAAGTCATATTGAGTTTTAATTACAATTTTTGTTGTATGCAACTATTAAATTCGTTATTAATTTTTTTCAGTTTTACCATGTAATAATAATTTTATATGCTAAATTATTTAGCTCAAAAGCCATAATTCTGATCCTTTCCTGTAATTACATAATCTCCCCTTAAAATACGCATATATAATTATGAGTAATTGTTTTATCCATAAAAATATAAAATCACCAAAAATGAATAACAAGAAATATTGATGAATTTACCATTACCTTTTACCTAACTCATGAGCTCACCCCAAAAAATATGTAATCTTCTGCATGATTCTGGTTGCAGGAAAATTTTATCCATCTTTTTGTGCAAGAATTTAAAAATTCCATCAATTTCAGCTCTGCACTTTATGTTAATAAAAGCTTGTTAATGACATACAT